TTGTTGTTTTCTACATTGTTTAATCCAAAAAATTCTGCATTTTTCTGCATTTTCCTTGCTGTTTTCTGCACTGTCTTCCCCAAAATTTCCTACCATTTACCAAAATTTTGCTACTCCTTGCCAAAATTTTTTGGAATGTCTGCTGTCATATTTGGAATTTTTTTAAAATATGGCTATGCATGTGAACTAATAAACATATGCTAGTAAGGTTTTGGTGGGTAGAAGTGGCAAGAGGAGAAAGGGAGAAACTGTTCCCTTGGGTTAGAACTTGGTTCTAGAATTCAAGACCAATTTAGTTGTATGAGGCATGTTGTGATCCTGTTGTTCTTGATATGAAATAGGTTCTAAGACACCTTCGCTTCCTTGAGACTTAAATTCTAGCTTACAATATAACGACAAGGGGACGGAAGTAAATTTATGGTTTGTCCTTGATTTTAAAAAGAATGTAAGTTTGAACCATGACTTTTATTGATTTTGAGATGGTGGCAAGATTAAAAGTCTGTTTTGGCTTAACTACCATGACTAAATCATATTTTATTGAGTTGGATTTCAATTGGTTAAGCAAGCCTATTATAAAAGTTTTTTTTTTCTTATTTTTTATATATTACATGCTTCATGTTATACATGTTTTCCTGAATTTACTTGAAATGTACTTTCTAGCCTGTTTTAGTCTCCAATATAGTCATGTATTACTTGTGCCCGCTAGCGGGAGGTTTATAAACGCTAGCACATGTCAACATGTTACTTATAGAACTGGTTCATTCTTGTTATATCTGTTATCTTGCTTGTGGGATTATACATTGGTAAATCTTGTGCCTACCAGTGGGAGGTTTATAAATGTTGGTCATGACTTATAAAGGAGATGTCTATTTCTTTCCCATATTCATATTGTTTTTCTTAAAACTTTATTACACTTGATGGCATGCTTAATTATAAATGAGAGTTATTTATATTTTACTTACTAAGATATCTTATAGTTTTTCCTTGTCCACCATTTCAGGTAATGAGACCCGAGACATGGGAAACCAAGGGGAGTGACAAGCTAGAAGGCTAGTCATTTTTATTTTGGTCTTAGATCCTTTTTTTGGAGTTAGGCCGCTAGTCACACATACCTTGACTTAAATGTTGGATTATAGATCATTCTTTTGTATACTAAAGTTCCCTTGGATATAGCCATGATATTTCTAATAAAGGTATATAACTTTTTTGCCCTTCGACTAGTCAAACTTTGATAATTGTGTCACGCCCCAAAATCAGGAGCGAAACAGACGTCGTGCACTCGTGAATGGATCTCACAAATGCACAAGGCTCATAACCTACTGTGTTCATAATTACCAAAAATTTTCTAGTCAAGGTGTACAAAAGTTTATAAGACAGTCATGGCTATAACCAAGGGAAACTTAGTATTAAAAAAAAATGATTTATCATTTCACATCTATGTCAAGCATGTGTGGCTAACGGCCTAAGTCCAAAAAGGATCTAAGTCCAAAATACTGACTAGCCTTCTAGCTTGTCACTCCCCTTAGTTAATCGTGCCTTGGGTCTGTAATATCCTAAATTTTCGAGAATTTTATCATTTAAGTTAGGGACTTATTTTGGAAAAAATATTATTTGGAGCCTAATAGTGAAAATTTCTAAACTTGAGGGACTTAAAAGAGAAAATGAATTGGATAAGGATCAGCTATTTTTTTTTCCTTCTTTCTTCTTCCTTATCCACGTGTTTCTACTCATTCTTCTTCTCCCTTACAGCCGAAAAAGAAGCCCAAGCACCGACTTCCATTTCTTGAAAAAAATCAACAAAAGCTTAAATTTTTCTCCTTTCTTTTTGTTCAAGAACAAGATTTAGGAGCTTGAAATCTTTCCCCTCTGCAGAAAATCTCGGATCTACTCTGCTCCTTCCTCCCTTCCGTCCGCTGCTCTTGGTGTGGGTGTGAGTTTTCCAGTTTTGGTAAGGGGAAACAACCATTAATTCCTCTTTTCTTCCTTGAATTGGCTTGGGTTTACTCTAATTTCTCTTGGTTTCTCCCAATTTCCGGTAGATTTCTTGATTTTCCTTCCATGCCAGTCGGCCTCCCTCAAACCCGCCAGCTCCAACTTTGCTTGCTGGATTTCTGGTATGTGACAGCCCCCTTTAAGCCTAAAATTATCCATTAGTTGCTGAATTTAGTTCAGTTGATTGCTGCCCTGTGTTGTCCGAATTTTGCAAAATAGGGGGATGAATTCCGGTAGCTTTAGGACAAAACTTAAGCATTAATTCAAGTGGAATTTATGTGATTGAGTGTTAATTAGCTGCTATGATGTTTATATGGAAATCCTGTGTGAGTTGTGGTTTTCCAAGATAAACAATTGAAATAAAAGCCTTGTTTCTCCATTTTTGTGTCTATGGGATTAGGAAACCAAATTAGCGAATTTGTCTCTAAAACATCTTGTTTAAGAGAATTTTTGGATATCATAATTTTACTTTAAAATATTTGGGATTTTGGGGAGATATACGGGTTGAGAAAAAGGGAGTTTTATATTATGGTTGAATTTCGTGTGAAGCTCATTGGTTAGTAAATTTGCGAGGTTGTGCTAATAATTCTAGTAAGGTCTGAATGTATTTATTTGGAATATTAGGTGCTGTTATGGCTTAGAGCACTTGGATTGAGTCCTCAATTTTATGCAATTTAAGGTAAGTAAATTATGGTAATGCCCTCCGATTTTTAAAGCACATTTTAGCTTGTTTTTGAAGTGGTGGGGGGACTAAACCCGTTTTACACAAGTATGATCGATTTGAAATGAAATTATTATTCTTTTTATTGATTTGATCATACCTTCTTGGAGTTTACTTAACTGCCCTGATGATCTAGAAATTATTTGTGAATTATGATTTTTCTGTTAACCTTTGCCTAGTTTTGTTTCCAATATGGTCATGTTATTTGTGTGCCCGCTAGTGAGAGGTTTATAAACGCTAGTACATGTCGATATGTGTTTCTGTAGAGCCAGTTCCTCCTGCCAGTGGGAGTTGTTAAACATTAGTATTTCTGTAATCTTGCTAATGGGATTATACACTAGTAAATTGTGTGCCTGTCAGTGGGAGGTTTATAACACTGGCCATGACCCATAGAGGAGACGTTTATTTCATTTCCGTACTCGTATTTGTTTTTTGTGATTATATTTGTTGGCATGCTATAAGTTTAATTAAGGGCTATCCATATTTACTTACTGAGTTATCTCATAGTTTTTCCTTGTCCACCATTTTAGGAAGCGAAGTCAAGGATAGGGAAAAACGAGGGGAGTGACGAGTTAGAAGGCTAGCCATCTTGTAAATTGAACATAGATTTTAGATATGAATCATGATCTTGTAAGCTAGACTTTATTTGGAGATTTTATCATATTAGAGCAAATTTTTATAATTTTATCTTCAGATTTTGAGGTATCAGATTGTGGTATCATAAAGTTTTGAGCCTTGTGCATTTGTGGGATCCTCTCACAAGTGTACGGTGTCTGCCACGTCCCCGGATTTGAGTTCAGGGGCATGAGAGGGTCTCACTTCCTGAAATGGTGGACAAGGAAAACTATGAGGTAAGATATCTTAGTAAGTAAAAATATGGATAGCCTATGAGTAAAATTTAAGCATGCCTCATAAACAATTGAACATAACAAAGCGTTCAATGATAAACCGTTAATGCAGAATAAGATTCAGTAGTAATCTCATCTATAAGTCATGGCCAGTGTTTAACAAACTCCCACTAGCAGGCATCAGTAATAACCAATGTATTATCCCATTGGCAAGATTACAGAATGAACTGGTCCTATCGATATACATGTCGACATGTGCTAGCGTTTGCAAACTCCCACTAGCGAGCGTTAGTAATCATGATTATATTAGAGACAAAACCATGTAGGATTTACAAGAAAAATCTATAATTCACAATCAATCTCAAATTTCAAGAATAAACTGGAAAAATTCCATGTGGGCATGCTCAACCCCAAAAATAATAAAAATTTTCATTTCCATTCTAATCATGCTTAGGTGTTAATAAAATCAATTTAAACCTTGCCACCATCTCAAAAAAATTTAAAATATGCTTTTATTTTGAAATCGAAGGGCGTTACCATAATTTACTTACCTCAATCGCATAACATAGACAACTCACTCCAAGTGCTAGCATGACAGAATAATCAAGAACCTAACCAAAATATTCCAGAATTAATAACTATATGATTGGACATCTCAATTTTATTCTCAATATAAGCTAAACATTTAAACTTTCGTATTGTTGCCGGCCATTAATCCCATAAAGAAATCTTATTTATTTATTTATCCTTATTTCTTCTATATGAAATTTGAGCACAAAAATCAGATTGTGCATTTATATATATGTACATAAACACACATATACAAAATTCTCCAAATTCACGGACAACATGGAGGAATTGGCTTTGGCAAAACAATAGCTAATTCAAGGGATTTTTCTCTAGAACCTCACAGCAGCCAATTAATACCCAATCACAAAAATTCTACATGAATTAAGCTTAATTTTGTTCTAATTGCTATCGGAATTCATCCCCTATTTCAGCAGAAATTCGGACAGCACAGGGGCAACAATTAATGAATAAATTCAGTAACTAATGGGTAATTTTGGACTTAGAGGAAGCTGTCACATACTAGAAAATTCAGCAAGCAAAAATAAGAGCTGGCGAGTTAGGGAAGCCGACGAAAATTGAAGGAGAATTTAGGGGATCTACCATAAATTGGGAGAACCAAAAGAAATTAGAGTACACCCAAGCCAAATCAAGGGAGAAAAGAGGAATTAGTGGCTGTTTCCTTACTAGAAACCTGAAAAATTCACACCCACACAGCCAAGAGCAACGGACAGAAGGGGAAGGAACAAAGCAGTCTGAAATTTTTTTGTAGGGGGGAGATTTCTAAGTTCTAAATCTTTTTCTTGAACAAGAAAAGAAGGGAAAAAATCAATCTTTTACCGTTTCTCAAGAGGGTGGGTGTTGTCGGTGGCTTGGGGCTTCTTGTTCGGTTGCAGGGGAGAAGAAGAAGAGCAGAAACGCGCAGCTAAGGAAGAAAGAAAGAAAGAAAAAAATCAGCCGATCCCTATCCTAATTCTTTTCTCTAAGTCCCTCAAATTTGAAAATTTTATGATTTAACTCAACATTATTATTTTCTCACAATTAGGTCCCTAGCTCATACTTAATTGTTCTAGAAATTTTTGGGGTATTACAAATTGAAAGGTAGATACTGCTTGGGCTTTTAAATATAAGTTATGTGGATTAGTAGTTACAAAGTTAGCAGGTTCTGCGCCTTGTGCATATGTGGGACTCTCTCACAAGTGCACAACATTTGTTTCACTCCCGGTTTTGGGGCGTGATAGTTACAAATGCTCACTCATGAGTTCAAATTAGAAGGCATACAAATTGATGACAACCTTAAAGTTGTAGCCATTATCAACAAGTTGTCGTCTTCATGGAAGGAGTTTCAAAAGATGTTCCACCACAAGCAAAAGGAGTCACCATGGAAAATCTTCTACCTTGTATTTGGGTTAAGGAAGAAGCAAGGAATTAAGATGCTCAAACTACAAATGGAGGTAACATATCAAAGGTAAACTTTGTTGCCACTAATGATAGCTTTTCTAAAAAGAATTTTAGGAACCACTCTACTAGGAGAATAGGTCAAAATTATGTCTAACACCCCATGTGCTGTGAACTTAAATGAGTTGCGCTTAGTTGGGTTGAAGAGTCACAACTGCCATGTATTCATGCAAGACCTCATTCCTATTGTTTTTCATAGCCTGTTGTCGAATTCTATATGGAGTCCATTAACAGAAGCAAGTAATTTCTTCCATGCACTATGTTCTCCTTCTGTCAACATAAAAGACATGGTGGTTTGGGATATGAAGATAGTTGAAACAATATGTAAGTTGGAAAGAATCTTCCCACCATCAATTTTTTATTATATGGAGCACCTAACAATCCATCTTCCTTTCAAGGCACGAATAGGTGGGCATGTACAATTCTGATGGATGTACTCATTTGAATAGTAATGGGAACAAGTTGGCACTGATTTCATGTATAATGAAATCTGCAACCATTTGTTATGCTCATAGCTTATTTCAAATTTTATAGACAAATGCGCAAACTTAAACAATCGATAGGGAACAAGCATCATGTTGAGGCATCCATTGTTGAAGCATTCATTCTAAATGAAATAACATAGTTTTTCTCACGATATTTTGGCGAGGATGTTGAAACAAGTTGGAAAAAGCCCTCAAGGAACTTTACAGGAGCTCCAATTTATAGGAATGTAGAATTCTCGATATTTGCATGCCTTAGTCAACCGATAGGTTTACATCCACAGACACGATGTCTAACTATTCAAGAGATGCAGGCAACTGAACTTTATGTACTACTAAAATGCATGGAGGTTGATGTGCTGCTTCAGTGAGATATGACAACTAAACTCCTATTTTATATATTTTCAGAATCTGCTTTATCAATTAAAGCAAGAAAGTTCAACTTTCCATTTGTGGTCACACTTAATTGTTTCCATATTTTAGCATTTTTGATCTAGAACTTGGTGCACATATGACCCCTTCCGATCCACAAGAAGCTCACACCAAGTGTTTGGTTATGTCATTCAAAAATAGGATAAATAATATTTCTTCATCATGTTAAGTTGTTTCTAATATTACTATAAACCTATACATATATGGTCATATACAATATATTAACTCTGTTATTTATTTATACAAACTATTTAAGTTATTAATGAAGATAGTATAAATTTGAGTAATAACATATACGTATAAGTTTGAGTAATAACGCGTACATATAAATTTGGTAAGTGTTAAGTGACTATCATGAAGTGAATGAGGTTTTGCACTACCTTGCATTAGGGCCAACATGGACAATTAATGTGTACATAGGTTATTATATCAATGGTTTTAGATTTATAATACAAGAGGTTAGTAGCTTAAGACAAACGTATAATTGTGGTGTATGTGTGAAAGGAACAACCATATCTAATGAGGCCAAGATTGATTATTATGGCATCCTTATTGAAGTCATCGAACTATTGTATTACGAACCACATGGGCAATTATAGGCAATTGTCTTATTCAATTGTGATTGGTTCGACACAAATAAGGGAACACATGTGAACCAAGTTTACAATCTTGTTGAAGTCAACCCATGGTACAAACTGTTGATCAGTGAGCCATTTTGCTTAGCATGTCAAGCAACCCAAGTGTATTACACTAGTTACCCGTCAGATAATCGAGCAACTCGTGGATGGCTCATCACATGCAAAATACATGCTAGACATTTGATTGACACTTCTTTAGCTTTAGTTGACATGGAAGAAATATTCCAAGATGATGAGCTACCATCCACACAATCAAATGAGCATAGTTTTGATTTGGCATCTACAGAACACATGAATCTACATGCAGAAGGAGCAACAGTGGTTGAACTAAATGGAAATGTAGATGATGGTGGGGATCAAAATGCAAGTGAAGAAAATGAAGGATATGAAATAGCAGGGGATGTTGATGGCAATAGTAGCAACATGGGATAGTAGTTTAAAAAATGAAGTTCATGTTATGTAATAGTTTCAAAATTTGTTGTCATAAAAAAAGAAATCTTGGGTGCTAGACTTCCTACTTAACAAATATGCTTTTCAATGACTAATGATTGTTTCTTCATTTTTGTTTCATTGTCATTATTTATGATGTTGTAAATGCTTATAAAAGGAAAAATTAAAAGGAAAAATTAAAAATCTGGACATATTGTGAAATTAGTAATAACCTCCTTTATGTGACCATATGTTTTGTAGGATGTCGATTGGGCCTATAAACTCCACACGCAGTCACGACACATCAGGGAGATGAGGACGTAAAGATGCAATACATCTAGCATGTGATGTTACCCGAGTAATGGACGTGGGACATACTCACTCTATTAGTCCATAGGATTCCATTCATGCAGCAACCTCATCCCATAATGAGAGGTAGAAGGGAAGAGGTCCCAACAAACCAAAAAAACCTATAAGAAGACCAAATGAGAGACCATTTATACAAATTTCATATAAGGGTACATTCTGGGATGTAGAAGTCCCTAGATTGATTACGACCCTATGGAAGAGGGTTTATAATGGTGATTACTTCACATACGACTTGTTCCCAAAACACAAGAAGATGCAAGTGTGGGAGCTATTTAAGGTAAAAATAATTATCATTTCATACATAATCCTTTCATCTAATATGTACCATATGATCAATGCTAACTGTAATAATATATATGATGAAGCCAAAATCCCTATTGCAAGTTCATTAGTCAATACAGGCAATTTAATGGTGTGAGTAATGCATACACCTTAACCAAAAAAACATGGATAGGCAAGGCCTACCAACATTAAGGATGAAAATGCAATTTATGTTTTTCTTTGGTTAAACTATTTGGTCCCGTAACAGTCATCAGATGACACAAAAGTTCTTATAATTCTTATTTTTTCAATATGGTATTAAAAGTTCCTATTTCTATCAATTAGGTCTTTCATATAGACATAATGATAATTATGTAAAATGAAGTAAATTGTCATGAAAGTCATTAAATTAGCAAAAATACCAAGGTTGACATTCAAAATCATGATATATAAAAGTAAATGCTAGCAATTAGTATTGTAAAGGGTGAAGTTGACAATATTATATGTATTAAAGGCAAACTATGTAGGAAAAAATGAGATATTGTGTATATACTGTTATTATATTACATGTTATTAATGTACATAAAATAATCAGTTTGTATGTGGTTACAAGCACATTATCAATTGCCTATAGAGGATGAGGATGCGATTTGGAAAGCTTTCTTAAGATCAATGAAGAAAGGATGGGGCAATAATATGAAGGATGAATAAGATAGGTGGTGTAGAAACAATGACCACATGCCGTTATGGGTGCTTAAGCACTTATGGCCTAACTTATGTGCTTATTGGGACTCTGATGAGTTTCACAACCTCAGCGATATGAGGAAGAAAAATTGGGCATCTGGGGAGCAAGTTACACACACTACAGGATCAATGAGTTTCGATGTGCATAAAGAAAGGATGGTAAGCAAGAAAAAAAAAAAAAGAAAAAGAAAAGTGTATATATATAATAGATAATGAACAAAAGTTATAATATTTTATGTATAATTATCTATTAACTATAAATATAAATGAGTTGCTAATTGCCGTAATATGGTTGTGACACACAGACCAAATCTACCAAGGGGTAAAGCTAGCACACCAAGTCCTATATAAGGAAACACACACTTTGCGAAAAGGTGTCCCCTAAAGGTTAGGAAGCTCCATGATGTGGCGAGAAACAGAAGGCTCGTCATGTAAGTGCAAATATACTAGATAAGAGTTTTCTATGAGTGACGTGGATTGTTTGCAAAAATCAATAAAAGGTTTATTAAAAAGTTAGCGGTACTAAATAAAATACAACTAAAATTTTGCATCAGTATTAGTATGTGTAGGTGTTCGTGAAATTGATTTTAGTATTGACTAACAGAAGTTGGGACATTGAAAGAAAGAACAAGATATCATGAAAAATTAATATTATCACAGTTAGTAAAAGACAAGTGATTGTTTTTTTATGATTGATACTTTCTTATCACTAGTATGTAAATAATAATGGTTGCATATTTCAGCATTGTTAGATGTATGCAGCAATCCTAAATTTGTAGTCATAGATTGTGGATTTTTGTGCACTACTTTTGCAAAATACGTATGTACCTGAGTGTTTTGCTACACATAGGTCCAACTCAACATCATGGCCACCATGAGACAACAACGCATGGGCAATTGCTGTTAGGGGATGCCACAGCAATTTCATGCCCATAATTGGTTCGTAGATAAACCCAAAGGAAGTTGGGTTTACTTATAAAAAATGGCAACCAATGGGGAATTCATATATGAGCTTGATGATATCAGACCTAGATGAAAAACAAGCAAAAGATAGAGAGGCAATGCAAATGATGTAGGAGAAATAGGGCATGTGAGGAAGGAATGAGAAGCAATGCAATGGATGATGGAAAAGATGGCAAGGATCTAGGCATCTATATCATGGCAATTTGCTGCTTGGAGTGCATATGGGATGCACCCCCCTATTGCTAGCCCATCATTGCCTCATTCTGGGCAAGCATTTCCTCTTGTAGGGTCCTCATTACCAACTGCTAGGCCATCATTTCCTCATGCAATGCCAATGCAACTCCCAATAGAACTTGGATTCCCTATGGGCGAAATGGGGAGACAGCCACAAGCTCCAAATACATCCTCGGTCAATACCCCACAAGATGATTATGGTTACCAATCGAGATTTGATGCTGATTACCAAGGTGCATTTGGGTCCAAATGATGAGTGTGCATGAGTTTACGAACTCAAAACTTGGCATATTCTTGCTCTTGATGGAAATACTTTCGTTTTTTGGATGGAAGATTTTAATTTGTTTGGACATGGGTGTATATGATAGTTGGGATTGAATGGTTTAGAGTAACATTAGCTAAATTTCTGTGAGTTGTAGGTTTAGAATATGCACATGGTCATATTACATGCTGCATATGGTATTTATATAGTTATTTTTTTAATTTATGATTAAGAAATGGGGGAATTATATAAATACAACACATTTGCAATTATGTGATACATTGAAAAAGGATGTTGAGACACACACACCCTTAGACCAACACCCTCTCTTACATATTATTTATAAAATTAATATTTTATAATTTTAAATTATTTACAAACAACTTAAATTGATTGCCAAACATACTCCTTTGAGTGGTGCTAAAGACAACTACTCACAAACACTTGCTTGGTTAATCGCTTTCCCGAGCTTCCACGTTATCATAATTTCGAGACAATTAAAACCTTAAACCAATAATTGAGAAATTTCAATAATCAATACTTTTTTTACTACTATATAAAATAGCTTGTCTCCTACTTCTTAAATTCTCTTTCCTCTCATTCTTATGTTTGTTTTGAAAACTGTTGCCAACTCGCCGATGAGCGAAAATTGTGTCACCAATTTCATCCTTTTTCTTTAGCAGTGGATCCTTCAACAATGACCAATGAGGTAAGAGGAAATTAGCTTCACCATCACCCTCAACCAAACTAGAAGTTAATGAAAAAGGAAGAAAATGCCACAAGTAAAAGAATGGGAATGTTCATCTCAAAATCTTCATTTCAATTCCATCTCAAAAACAAGTATCTTTTTCGTTCTTTGAACAGCACCGATCTTGCAATTTAAAATTTCTCCAAATCTTTACATCAATTCACCCAAACTCTTGATCTTCATCTACTGGGGACTTTCTCTTTGAGTCTTTTGGAAGATTGGGATAGAAAAACAAAGATCATATCTTGATGTGTTTCTCATAGCTTGTGCACTAGAAATAAATCTCTTAAAGCCCTAGAAAAAAAGGCCAAAAGGACAAAACAAAAAAATATATAAATTATATAAAACTAAACTAGTTGCTCTTCAGTGTCCTTGTAAGAGTCAAAGCTTACAACCACTTGGTAGCATACAAAGTAGAGAGATTTCAAGAAAATGCCACAAGCGAGTGCCCTTAGTAGTGCTCATCTAGAAAAGATTTGGGTATCATCTCATCTGTTCATCTTCTTTCATGTTCATCTTCTTCTCTAATTTATACAAATTTCTTAACAACAATAAAAGTTTCTCTTGTCATCCTAGATTTTTTTGGAATCCAACATATTTCACAAAAGAAATTTTCTTTCCACCTCCAATTTTCTTAGCAACCAAACAACACACCACATCATCAAAATTGTAAAAATTCTAACAAAAATTTATAAAAATTCATTATCTTCTTCCTCTTTCCTTCTTCCTCTTTCTTTCTCCTACCCTCTCCTTCATCATCCTCCTCTAATTTTGAGAACCCAAATCTAGATTCTCTTTAAAACCATTGGGTTCCCTAAGAAAAGCCAAATCTAGATTCTCCTTGAGATCCCACGGGCTCTATTAGAGAAGCTAGATTTGGGTTCTCCTTCAACAAATCAAGGAGGGAGGAAGAGAAGGAAGAAAAGAGGAGGAAAGGAAAAGAGGAAGAAAAAGAAAGGAGGAGGGAAAAGAATGAAGAAGGTTGAAAATCAAAAAACCAATGTTGTGTGAAGAGGAGAGATGCCCAAATCTACATGGTGGAGAACTCCCAAAAAGAGATGTGGGAAGAGATAGGCAAATAAATGGTGATGGAGGAAGAGAGAGAAAATAGGGAGACAAGGAAAATAAATGGAATCTAGAGAAATTTTAACATTGGGAATTGCATTGAGTAGGCTTGTTATGGATAAGCAGGGGATAACTCTTTAATAGGAAAATATTGTATTTTAATCTTTAAACCGCAAGCGTGTAAGAGAGGATGCTGGTTTGGTGGGTAAATATATCCTTTTCCATTGAAAAAATGTGCTATGATAAATGACATTGTAGGTAAGGTAACATCAAAGTGCAAGAAGACTTAGTGCAATTTTTGGGGATGTAGCAATATTCAAATCTTGATTGCAATGTTGACTGTGCATCTAGTCAAGAGTCGACTCTAAGAATGTGTATTCAACTCTTGATGTATCTAGAGTTGACAATAGATGGTCAAGATTCGACTTCCAAATTCAAGAGAGTTGGGAACATCCTGGGGCAGGGCATAGTCAACTCTCAATGTAAAGGGTCGACTCTTGAGCAGTAAAGAGTTGGATCTAAGAAGATAGATTTGACTCTTGAGCCTTCAAGAGTTGACTATAAAAGGTCAACATTTGACTCCCAAATTCTAGAGAGTTGTGATCATCTTGGTGCATGGCATAGTCGACTCTCTATGTAAAGAGTCGATTCTTAAACAGCTAAAAGTCGACTCTAAGAAGCTAAATTTGACTCTTGAGCCTTCAAGAGTTGACTACATAAGGTCAACATTCGACTCCCAAATTCCAGAGAGTTGAGAACTTTCTAGGTGTTAGATATAGTCGACTCTCTTTGTTAAAAGTCAACTCATTGTGGAAAAAAGTCGACTCTTAATTTAAAAAGTCGACTATTGGCCAAAAAAATTGATATGATTATGTGAAATGTCTATGTAGCCTCATATGCCTGTCCACATATTTTTTTAGACAAATAGAATTTTAAATTATTTAAATATGTTAATAAATAATGCAATTATATCAATTAATGTGTCAAGTGTTAAATAAAATTTAATAGATTAAACAAAACCAACTAATAAATTAAATTTTAGATATAAAAATGAATTTTTTTTAAGATTAAGAATTAATTAAACTAAAATAATTTTAACCATTTAGTAGTGTGGCAGGAGAATTGATGAATTTAAGTTTTAGCAACATGATACATGTCAGTGATGAGTTATAAGATTTGAAACTCTAATAGGTTTTAGTAACATGGAATACATTATTAATAGGGTGGCTAAATTTTGAAAGTTCTATACATACCACACCCCCCCCCCCCCC